CTCTCTCTCTCTCTCTCTCTCTCTCTCTCTCTCTCTCTCTCTCTCTCTCTCTCTGGACTGCTGCTCACTCGTAGTTGCGTTGTTGCTTCCCAGGCCGTCAATGCGTGGCTCCCCAGGTCGTCGGTGCGTGGTTCACAGCCGCGTTGTTGCTCCCCAGGCCGTCGGTGCGTTGCCCCCCTCCTCGCCACCCCGCCACCTCCTCTCTGCTGCCGAACCATGCACAAGTTGTGTCGTCGCTGGATGACGACGCCAAAATTCAAAGCGCTCCAGAAGTTCAAAAGAGGGGAGCGAACCTTGCCACTTGTTGTGGTTAGGTTCGCTCCCTGTTGTTTTAATGGGAACGAAACTCAGCATCTCGTTTGAAAGCGGTAACTCATCCAAATGTGGGTCGTGGTGCAGCCGCCAAGAGGCAAGAGCAGCATGGGAAAAATTTGAAAGAAGACATCATCCTAAACAATATACAGATTGGTCGACAAACAGAGATGGATGAACGACATATACGCGAGATGGAAGGGAAACGAAGTTGTCAAGACCGTCGACCTCGCCTCTCCGCCTCTCGCGACCCGAGCTGCCTGTCCGTGACACACCTCGTCGGCTCGCCCTGGTCGCAGCGGATGGTCCTCGACTCCTCGTGCGGGGTCTCGTCTCACGAAACTCCTCCTGCCGTCAACCAGAACCACGCCGTGGTCGAGGGGAGGGCTCATCGTCGTCGTCCTCCTCCTCCTCCTCCTCGTCATCCCTCTCCTTCTCCCGACGCTCGTCGTCCTCTCTGTACTCCTCATCCTCAGGCAGGTCCTCGTCATCTGTCGGCTCCGTCTCGGGATCGTCCTCCACTACGATGACCTGATCATCCCCCCTCCTCACCTGAACAAGCCTAGTACTCGCCCGAGTGACAGCCTCGACAGTCTTATCTCGACGAGAACCCCGCGGCATCCCCAACCCCTCAGGTCCTGAAGACTCCTCCAATGCGGCACCACCCGCCGCAGGCATGAGACGCGGACTAGAGTCACGATATGCTGCACTCCTGCGCAAAGTCTGGTCACGCACAGCACGCGCTGCTGCTGCCAAAGCATGCTGCAAGGTGGACTCGGCCTCTATACCCCCACGAACATGTCGCGGCTGAGAAACTGCCGCCATGACCTCCCGAGACGCACCCCTCCCGGTGCCACCCCTACCCAAACCTGGCTGGAGTCATGCAGTGTGTACTGTTACCCGGCGAGTCAAGTCCGGGTCAATCTTTGTCCCCCCGAATAGCGTCGTGTCAAAAGGGAGGCTCCCTACGCCCGTGGTGTCACGGACCGTGGGTCTGCCAGGCGTGGATGGTGAGCGGAGGTGTGCACGCGCTGGTGTCGAGGGTGAATCACCGTGACGTGATCTCGGAGGAGGAGGCGGCATGCCTGGTCTCCGTGAGTATGTGTCCTCCTCCCGTATGACACTACGCACAACAGCCCGTGCGAGCTCTGCCGCATCAAATGGGCAAGCAGTATCCTCAGGAGCTCGCCGTCCACTAACGGAAGTCTGAAGCGGTGACTCTGATCCTAAATCCACCACTACGACCGGTGGTACCTCGTCAGGTGCCACCTCCTTAGAACCTGAGCCATGCACACATGGTCGAAGTGGGCGTGTTGTCGTCGTCAGCTACATGCCCGCGAAGTGTACCAACGGACCGCTACCTCCTGGGATCTCTGAAGCGGCTGCATCGTCATGCGCCTCCTGAGGGTGCTCTCGTGCCTCCTCGTACCCCTGTTGAAGAGTGTCCCGTGTACGAATCCTGGAGGCTCCTGCGAATGCCTGCTCGATATCCTCTGCGGAGTAACCAGCGGCCGCTAGGGCACGCGCTATATCCTCTATGTCTGCACGACGACTCTGACGAGGGGTGGGAGGATCCTCGAAAGACATCTGAGCAAAATCCCGCATCTCATCGCCAATCGCCCCCCTCTCTGTTGATGGCGACGCCCCCAGTGCCCTCATCGTGCCCGAGGTCAATCCCAATAGTGCGGGACCCAGCTCATCAGCGATGAAACGCTCGACATTAGTGTCAAGGGTGTCGCTGCCCTCTCCTCCGTCATGGGCGTCGTCACCCTCTGCCCTGACCACGTCCTCCTGTCTCTCACCCTGCGCAGCATCGGAAGGCACTGCCACACCCTCCTCTCTCCCAACCTGAGTAGTCACGACGTCCTCCTCTCTCTCTATGTGGGCACGATCATCCACCTCCACTCCCGCCTCCCTCTCAACCTGCGCACCGTCATCCACCTCCACTCCCGCCTCCCTCTCAACCTGCGCACCACCATCCACCTCCACTCCCGCCTCCGTCTCTACCTGCGCACGATCATCCACCTCCACTCCCGCCTCCCTCTCAACCTGCGCACCATCATCCAGCTGGACCACCTCCACTCCCGCCTCCCTCTCAACCTGCGCACGATCATCCACCTCCACTCCCGCCTCCCTCTCAATCTGCGCACGATCATCCACCTCCACTTCCGCCTCCCTCTCAACCTGCGCATGATCATCCACCTCCACTCCTGCCTCCCTCTCAACCTGCGCACCATCATCCACCTGGACCACCTCCACTCCCGCCTCCCTCTCAACCTGCGGACGATCATTCCCCCCTAATTTATCATGCAACGTAGACGACAACCCTGCCTGTCCTACTTCCACTAACTCGTCCCCCATACCTCGAATACCCTCAAGGTCGTCAACTCCGCTCGCTCCGTGCTCCTCCGCCCGTCTCTCCCTCACCACCGCTGTCCTGCTATGAACACCCTCCTCCAAAACGAGCTGACGGGCTATGCTAAACAACGATCCATGGCCGCGTATGCGCAACGAGGATCCCAAGTCCTCCCTCCTGACTGCTGATGGTGAGCGCTCAACATGCCCTATGGAAGCAGTCTCGGCGGACGATGCTACTGAATGACGAGGAAGATGCAACTGCGACGAAGGTCCGGACTCCGTCGTGTGAGTACTCGTCCGCTCGCACGTCCTCGTAGGAGCAGGAGTCTGCTGCTGCGCGGTCGCCGAAACAGTCGTCTGTTCCCGCACTGTGGCGGTAGGAGCAGGTGTATGCTCTCGCGCGGGAGTGGGTGATCTCGCCTCTACTCCCCCGAAATCACCCGCCCTCGGCGCGGTGTCTAACCGCTCTGCCCCCTCGTGCGAGTCGCTGCCCTCCTCGTGCAACTCGTCAATCTCGCGCGGGATGGGAAGCGTGGGGTCGCCCGCACATTCCCGCTCCCTCTCGTCCCCAGAGGCATCATCCCTGGGGTATGGCCGGAAGATAGCCGCACGAGCACCGAAAACAGACTCTGCAGGGGGCGGCGCAGAGGACCCGATGGGATCGCGCGAAATGAGGGCAGCCTGCTCATCGATCTCCTCCGGCGTCATCGAGCTCCTCATCCCCGAACGCACGGGGTCCAGCTCTATGCCTGCCTGAGCGTCGAGCATACCCTCGTCTCGCTGCCAAGGGAGAACATACCCACAACCTGCACGTCTGTACTCCATCAACCGCACATTTGCGGTGATCTCGACAAGATGGACGACCTTCTCGAAGGCCAACTGATTGCGCTTCTTCGTGTGGATGCTCGTGGACAGCCCAGTTCCTCTTCGCTCGAGAGGCGCAGGACCACATATGCATCAAACGAAGGGCGCAATACTGTAACTCAGGCGCATCTCCCCCGTACTGAGACCACCAGGACGCACACTCCATCGTCTCGCGGTCCCCGCTGCAAGTGCGCACCCGAGCGCGGCCCTCTCCCCCGCCCCAACTCCCATACCTACCCTGCTGCATGTGGAAGTCCTCGAACTGCCGACATACCTCAAGGTTGGGAGCACCCTCCACGTCGAAGCCGGTCTGAGACAACAAATACCTCTTGGCTTGTCGAACAAGCCATGTGTAGTACTCGTCGAGCTGAGCTGAGAAGTACTGAACATCCCGTCGACGGGGGTTCGGTAAGAACGCCGTGCAGTGTGCAGCCTCCATCATGTGGTGAATACGGGCCTGCACACGCCTAGTGCAGGACCTTCTCCACCTGGTCGGCCTCGAAGCCGTATGTGCGCTTCTGCGCAATGTCAAACAGCGCTTCGTCGGACACCCACTTGCAATATTGTGGCTGGGTGAAGTGTTTTGTCGCGTAATACTGGGTTCCCTGCCACACCTTATTGCAGAAGGTGCACCGTAGCATCCTAACCCCTCGGTTGTCGATCACCTGGCCGACGACGATGTAACGGTACACAGCCCCCTTGCGCCTGAGACCTGCTGCACATTTTCAGGCGCAAGCTCATGACTGCGCGTCTATTGTCGCGGCATCGCGGACCCCCCTCAAAGCCGCGCCTATTCGGCTTCAAGGCAGTCCCCTCGATCGACCCACCACGGCAGGCGCTGAGCAACCCCCCTCCCCCCCCCCAACGGTGCTACAGACTACCTTGGCCCCAGTTCGACCCCCATTGGACCCCCGTTGGACCCCCGTTGAACCTCGTTGAACCCCGTTGAACCCCGTTGAACTCCCGTTGAACCCCCGTTGAACCCCCGTTGTACCCCCGTTGAACCTCCGTTGAACCTCCGTCGCGCAGTAGTTGCAACCCCGACACGCTCCGACCTTTTAGCGCCGCATAAGAATCTCCATTGCACCTGCATCAACACAAAAAACAAACGAAAACCCATGAGTCCAACTAAAAAAACAAAACGACAACAGCTCTCTCTCTCTCTCTCTCTCTCTCTCTCTCTCTCTCTCTCTCTCTCTCTCT